TCATTGGTGCTTTCATTGAGAGTGATTGATTGGGTGTTCTTGAACTTTTTCTATCTCATTCTTTTTCTTTTGGGTCCGATTTTTTGATTTCTTTTTGTTCGAATTTCGAATATTTGTTCCCAAATTTTCGAAAATTTCGTGAGTCTGAAAAAAAAAAGTGTCATCTAGTCCTTTTTTTTGATATTTTTTCGGTTATTACCTTTTGTGAGGGGCCGAATTTCTCTTCTTTTGGGTCGAAATTTTCGAAATCCTTGTTCGAATTTTTCATTTATTTTTCGATTTTTTTCTATAGAGTTTAAAAAAAAAAAGTATGTCTTATGAGCCAATGGACGAGATGGATTGGGAAGATCTCTAACTATTGGAGAGTTTGGAGAGAGAACTTACATCATGGGAGAGCACATATCTAGACGAGCTCCATGAACGAAGAAATCGGGAAGAATACGAGCGACAACTCGTAGAAAGCCGAGGAGCAAGAGAGGGTGAAGTTCAAAACCGTGAAGATGATGGTGCGCTTAACTTTCTAATCCTTGAGGACAAGGAAAGTCTTGAAGAGGAGGGGAATGATACGGAAGTGATTATTAACCCCGGTGAGTCCGACGATGATGGTGGCGACGATCTAAATATTTGGCTAGAAAATATGTTGGAGGAGCCATCTAGTCCAATTTACCGGCCATCATGCAAGAGAGACTGGCCAAAAGGGTGTGGTCCGCAATCTAAGTTGAAGGTCAAGAAGCGCCGGGCCAAAAGGCGACGCAAAACAAAGGCGCAAAAGGCGAGCCAATGTTGTAGGCCGTGCACTAGGAAGAAATGGACGTGGCATACAGAATTTCAAAGACGAGGAAGGCTAGGAATGGAAGATGGCTTGATATGGCGTGCAGGTGACTGCATTGGGTTGGATGGTTGGGATCCATGGCCGTCAGGAGAACTAATGGAGTCAAGGGACAAAAGAATCGATGAGGACAGATTATCGGGCGTATGGCGCGCATCGTGAGGTGATGCGCGCAAGAGGTTGAAGGGTCGAGGCGTTAAACGAAGACGCGGCGCCGAGATGTTGGACGCAAGTGACGCGCAATCATGTGCAGGAGGTAGCCAAGCTGCGGGGGTCGGCGATACGCGGGGAACCGTGGGTGTACGCGGGCATGCGATAAGCGATAGGGACACATGCATCGACGGTACGCGCGGGCGGGGAGGCGAACGCGAGAAGAGTACGGGTGCGTCGAACGTGGGTAGCAACCGCGCAAGTGGCGAGGACGCGCGCGAACAGGCCGATAGCGAGGGCGCGCAGACGAGAGTGCGCGATTGGGGCGCGCATGCGCAAGGCCTAAACCTTGCGGGCGTAGGAGTGCCGAGCGATGGGCCACACGCGCATGAGGAAGGCGGCGGCAGCTGGGCAAGCGCGTTGGCGCGCGATTGGGTGACCAGCGCGCGAGGCCCAGTCCGCACGGGACTAGGCGAGACCATGGCAACGGGTGACGCGTGCGAGGCGCGCGCGCGATGCCGCGCGCGACAAGGACTAGGGAACCTCGAATGGCGGCGCGCACGCGTAGGGCGAGAGAGGCGGCCGAACAAGTACTTGTGCTTGAGTTTGATTTGTTTGGAGTGCAAGCCAAGCAAGATCAAGATCTAGTCAAATTAGGACTTTGATATATTTAGTTTCCTTCTTGCACAATAGTATCTAGAATGTTTAGGAAGTTAATATTTTATTGCTTTAATATGTTTCCTAGGTAGATTAGAATTAGTAGTAATTAGGATCTATAAATAGGGATGTTCTCTCATTGTTTTTCATGTGGAAGAAGTTAATAGAAAAGAACGTTTGTTCGAAACCGTGTGTTAGAGTCGTGAGATTCGATCATGCAATCGAATTGGTGAGGCTAAGACCCAAGCCAGTTCAACGATTTAGAGAGGCTAAGACCCGATCCTTCATCAGGCTGCCTGCGCGCGTTGGGCTGCCTGCGCGCGGGCTGTGCCGGCCTGGCGAGCTTCTTAGGGCCAGATGACATGGAAATTATTTCTAAGTGTCCGGTTTGACCCCAGCTTGACTTGAACAACAAAATAATAATAATAACAATAATAATAATAATAATAATAATAATAATAATAATAATAATCATAATAACAATCTCCAATAATTCATAATCAAACGGGGCGTTACAGTCTACCCACCTTACAAAGAATTCCGTCCTCGAAAATTAAAACAAAACAACTTGAAGGCACTAAAAATAAATATACAGAGGGGAACTCAAAACATAAAGTTCGGATAACGCCTCATAATACCGTCCTCCCTCTCCCAAGTCGCCTCAGTCTCATCGTGTCGGCTCCACAACACCTTTACCAATCTTACTGCCCGGTTCTTCAGCTGATGGACCTTTCGGTCCAGGATAGCTACCGGCACCTCTTCATAGGTTAGGTCTCGCTCGACCTGCAGCTCGCCGAAGTCCACCACATGATCGGGATCATGCACATACCTCCGAAGCATAGAGACATGGAACACGTCGTGCACACCCGACAAGTCTGGTGGTAAAGCCAGCCGATACGCTAAGTTCCCGACTCGATCGAGGATCTCGAACGGCCCAATATAGCGAGGTTTAAGTTTCCCCTTCTTCCCGAAGAGAATCACACCTCTCATGGGTGAAACCTTCAAGAAGACATGATCTCCCACTGCATAAACATGCTCTTGCCTCTCCCGATCGGCATAAACCTTCTGTCTCTCTTGGGCAGACCTGATAGTCCTCCAGATCACCTCAATTGTTGCTGCAGTACTCTGAACAAAATCTGGACCCGTGATCCTCCTCTCTCCAACCTCATCCCAATACAAAGAAGTCCGGACCTTACGTCCGTACAAAGCCTCGTACGGGACCATCTTGATCGAAGAGTGGTAACTGTTGTTATGGGTCAGCTCGACTAGCGGAAGGGCATACTCCCAAGTCAGGCTTTGGTCCAAAACCACAACCCTCAATATATCCTCCAAGTACTGGATCGTACGCTCCGACTGACCATCTGTCTGGGGGTGAAAGGCCGTACCGAACTCCAACCTCGTCCCCATGGCTCGGTGCAACGTCCTCCAGAACTGACATGTGAACTTAGGATCTCGATCAAAAACAATCTCCACGGGGACTCCATGAAGCTTAACAATGTCCTTGACAAACAATTCGGCGTAATCACTCGCCTTCATGGTCGTTCGGACTGGCAGAAAATGGACAGACTTCGTAAGGCGATCCACTATCTCCCAAATCGAATCATACCCGCCCCTCGACTTCGGCAGTCCTACTAAGAAATCCATGGTGATGCACTCCCACTTCCACAGGGGAACCTCAAGGGGCTGTAACAACCCTCTCGGTTTCTGGCACTCAGCCTTCACTTGCTGACACACCAGGCACCCATCCACGAACTTTGCTACCTGCCTCTTCATGGCTCGCCACCAGAAAGACTTTCTCAGGTCCTGATACATCTTCGTGCTACCAGAAAGATTTTTAAGCACAAGAAATCGTCCTAAACATGCATGCAACGAAAAGTACGATTTTAAGGCTTTAAGCTTCAAAAATCCGATTTTCTCATTCTACCCGAGAAAAATTTGATTTATCTTCATGATAAATCTTAAAATATCATGTTATAGCTAGGATAAAAAGATAGCATGAGCTAACCTTCACCGAAGTCGAAAATTAGACTTAAGCCCTTAACTCGGGTCTCCTGGGGTCGCTATAGGCCGTGGCTTGACTTGGTGGCCTATAAGCTGAAGATGGTGGCTTCTCTAAGCTCCTTATACTCCCGGAGATGATAT